CACAATACTGAACGGGATGTTGTTAAACTATGAACTATTGTGTATGAAATATCGAAACATTTTTTTCAAGACGATTAACTCAGGCGTTAATATAAGCCAAATGTTTGTTCCAAGTTTTTTTTGCAAACCACTATATATAATTTAACTTCTTATACATGTTGTCTACTAGACATTTTTGTTGCTGATTTCTGTTTTAGATGAAGTATGTGAGTATGAATGTTGATGATTGAAAGTCTTGTCTTCATTTACATTCACATCATACCATTTCGAAATCGGTATTATTAAATTTGTAGAAGAAATTGAGACATAACAGAGATCTACTTTTTAGATTCATGATATAGAAGTAATTCTGAAAGAATTGAACATATGTATTTCTATGCCCACATACATACTTTCTTATTTAGCTGGATCGGTTGTTCTAAAACGAAAATAGATTTTTGACAGGGAGTCTTAATCGTTTCTTAAAGCACAGTTCACATGCCATTTGAGATGATTGTCAAAATTATGTTTAAGCAAAAAAGATTAGCGATTCACAATATAATTCATTCTACATATTTTTAATTTCAAATAATAAATAACCTTGGTTTAACATTTTAAATTTAATAAAAAAAAGAAACCTTAATCAAAAAATATTAAATTGTTCGCTAAAAACAACGATGACTCGTCTGATTAAACAAAGTTATTCTTTCAAAACACATAAAAATGAGAGTTATATATGTACAATTTCATATCATTGCAACGATTGATGGTGGCGATAGAACGTTTTTTTCAAAATTTCTTTTTACATATTCAGTACGTTGATAGGTTCTTATAATTTAAACCAACGATGGCATCTATTATAGAAAACATATCGATAAGAAATTATTTAGTCAACTTCAGAAAATTTTCACACACAAAAAATATTTTATTAGAATACTGCTAAGATAAATGAAAATTATCACAAAATTTAATAGTGATAGTTCGAATTTTATCTCAAAACTCAATCGTAAATGATAATTTAGCTAATCAATTCATATTCTTTATTCAAAACATGATTGATTTTTTTTATTAATCAATAAAATAGATCAAACATCCTATGTTGACGTATTGCATATATAGGAATATCGTATCTATGCAATGTATTACATATTACATACTTTTTCTTCATTATTTGAGTCATACGATTAGATACTAGAAAGAGATGACCGACAGTTCGATATATTAGAATAAGTACATCTATTACCTACTGTTAATGGTCGTTCGTTATCAAGTCGTTTTCAAGTTCCAAATTAAAAGAAGAAGGGCAAAATTTAAGTGTCTTTCACGGCTTGTGAAGTATGTTTGTCAGGAGAGGAGGCAAAGTATATATCACGTGCTAGTGCATGAAAAGTAGCTATAAAGTGAATATTTACTTTCTATTAAAATGTTTTTCTTAAAAATCATCTTATCACAAACGGTGACATTCTTTTGTTGCTGTTTAGCTTTTTCTGTGCGTTTACTGTGGGTGAAGAATTCGATTTCGATCTCTATACTTCAATACTTATTTTTACGAATCAAGAAATCTTCCCATTGTGTTAATCAATGATTCGAAAGAAGAGAAAAGATGAAACTTATCGATTCTTGTGAATGTTACTATTAGGAGCTTCAAAAGTTGTGTGAGTTTCATATTTTATATCTTCGTAAAGCTATATTAATAAACTTTTTTCGAATGAAGTAGTTGGCTAATGGTTACATTATCAACAGACCAAGGTATTGTCAATTTCAATTCTATATTTGAATCGATCAGTTGTTCCCGATTAAATCAATTGAATTTTTTTCGTTTTAGCTTGTTAGATGTGGATGCCATTCCTCTCTTTACTTACACTCAAAAAGTGTAAAAGTTTTCAAAGTAGTTGCTCCAGATTGACTTAAATATCAACTGGATATATTATTTTATTGTTCTCATACTGATTAATTTATATCATCAGCTTATTTTTGTTTTGTTTTATAATATAGAAATCAAAGAACAACAAAACTATTTTTTTTTTCTAGCAACAAATTTGTCGCTTTACCTCACACGTAAGATATTGACGAAGTCTATTCTACCAATTTTTTCTCCTACAGTTTCAGGATGACTTTGAAATCTGGAAAAACTCGAACACAATATTTCACCTATATATAATTTATTTCGACCGTTAATAATGTATTCGATATATGTACATTCGATGAGTATATATTTCAGGAAGTTGATTGAAGACTAGAACATTTGAAAAAACCTCCTTATTCAACTTCCAAATGCAATTTTTGTTACTATCTACTTATCGTATTGAGTCTTTAGACGAGTAAAATCACGAACAATGGGATTCAACATCTAGCTGATACACTTAAAACAAACAATTTCAGTTATTCTTCAAGCTAATTTCTGCAATGTCTATGTTCACTTTGCTTTAGCGCAAACATGTTAACTTTTCTACTATCTTTTATCTTTAACATAATCATAAAAAGAAAAATTTTAATTTTAACAACTTCTCTCCATTCTTGTTGAAACTGAATTGTTAGCTTTCAAATAATAGTGACCATGTTATGTTTCATTAATAGGAAAACTTCAGCTAACTTACGAATAATATATGTTTGAATTTATTTAAGTGTCGAGAAAATTAAGAAGTTACATTTCTTGTGTTTAATTTAAAATGTGTTAGATTTTATCTGAAATTTTATTCTTGATGACGAGTGAAACGTTAGCATTAGTTTCAATTGCACAATTTAATCTATCAGAAACATATTATTGTCAAAGATTATCTACAATCAGAGAAGTTATCCCTAATTATTAAGAAAGAGCACATAATATGATAGTATAGATTGCAAATCTTCTTCTATAAAATATCTAACGTTTTCGCTTAAGTATCAGAGCAAACTAAACTATCTCCTACAGATAACCAACTCTAATAATGAAGAATCACATATGACACGATATGTAATGTTTTGTCTTGCGACAAAAAATACTTTTACAATAATGGATATCAGTTCAAAATAATGAATTAATTTCTAATAGAAAATCTGAAAAATGAAGTATTTTTCTTTATTAAGAAAGATGCTTAGAAACATATAGAGTTCATGGAGTTTCAAATTCACTTTTCTTAAGTTTTATTTTCCTAGTTTCTGATATAAAAATATCGGTAAACGAATTCTATACATACTGAGAAATTTTTGCCATGATACATTTTCAAAATTCTACTTGTGTTCAATTTCAACAGAATCAAATCAGACAAATATTTTAAATTGTAATTACATTATTGATTGAAAACTTAAGCGTCTTAAAAATATATCGATTGTTGATTTAGAATTTTTTGTTTGATTTGAAGCGAAAATCAGAATGAAGATTTTGATACGAAACTGGAATTTTGAAATAGAATTTTATTAAGAACTGATCACATTCATTTCTAGAGCACATTGATTCGGTTACTATTTGATTGCAACACTTAATATTTGAAAATTTCTTCTCAAGTTCATCTACAATCAGAAAATTTACAATTAACAAGTACACAAAGAGTATATTAACTGGCCGAATTAGATAAAGATAGATTGAGCATTGTCATATATTAAAAGATTTGCGAGGTTCTCAGAATTCATCTTCTATAATCTTTCTAACTTTGCATCATAGATGATGAAGACTAGGAAACTTTCTACTAAGAAAATTAGGGATAATGAGTTGCAACATCTAGCTGTTTCACTTAAAACAAAGAATATAAATTATTATTTTAGCTCATCATCTATTCAAAAATGTTTCCTTTGTCACAAAAAAGATAAGCATAATAATGTTAATAATTAATAGTTGTATCAGAGATTACCATAGAAAGATTATTGATATCAAGCTGTCAAAATTTTCTTGTTACTGTTATATAATTGATAAGAGTATCATATCTGTTAAAATAGAATCTTATAAAAATTCTATTGATTATGATCTGAAATGTTCCGTTAGTTTGAAAGAAATATATTTGAATATCTTTCTGTTCAATGCAACCTTGAAAAACATTTTTGGTTAGAAGATTGTTTCTTCAGGCATTTTAGAATTAAAAGTCAATAAGGTAAGATGTTTTTCTATATAGAAACCTTTACTCTGTTAGATATACTCATATAAAATTGCTGATAATTTACAGTCGACTTCAAGCATACAATGAAACAACCCTTGAGAAGAATTTATCAAGATACTAATTTATCAGTATTGAAGATTTTGGGTGTGAGTGTGGGGTATGAGTATACTGGTGACAGAAGAAAAGATACACACCCACATCTACACCATCAAGATTAAATTGATATTCTACTGTATGCGTAAACCGAAAATGAAGATTAGAGGAAAAAAACGTTTTTTTTTTCTACTTGTGTATAAGCTGTTGGATGCTCATCCGATCTGAATCGATACCTTTTTTCTTTTTTTTTTTCTGTCATTGTTAAGGAAAATGACGCTGTTGTCAACAAGTTTATTTTCAATCGGAAAAGACACTCAGTTTTGAAAAAGCGGAGAAAATAAAATATATTAAGTAAAATACAGCGAGACAACTAAATTTTGTTCTTTCAAAATAAAAATAAACCAACATGAATAATATTTTCTTTCATTTATTTTTAGTAGATCATTTGAACAAGAAAATTTTATTTTAAGAAAAATGTTTTTTAGAAAAAATTCGAACGTCTATTCCCATGAATAATTGGTTGATCATTATTGTCATTCGATAATGAATCAACTTGATCTAATTCATTTATTGTTGCATTTCCATATTCTCGAATTATTTTACGATCTTGCTTTACTGTTGTATGATGTTTATCTCCGTATATTTTACTTATTGTCTCAGTTCTGTTATTTTCATTTTGATTGAATGATTATTGAATTTTTTTCAATAACACATCTTTCCGATGGTATTGTTTCACGTTCCATTGTTGTTATTGTAAAAGTTCTTGGAAATGCTCCATTAAGACCATATTTTTCTATAGTAGAATCAAGATTTTCATTACCATGATGATTATCTACAAAATATATTAAGTTACGAAAAAATATTTTCAGAATAGATTTTTGTTTTGTTTTTGCTTTGAAAATCTTATTTGAGAACCTCATCCGTTAGACTAGTTAATGCCTGAGGATTTTCATTATTATAATCTTGTGAAAGAATTGAAAATGTAGTTAACAGCGAAGATTTTTTCAATTGAGAAAAATAAGCCATTGAAATAGAAAGTCATCATTATTATTATTATTTTCCATTTTAGTTTTCAGAATGAAAATTTATTTTTCATTGTTTATTTTTATTTTTATTTACATATGAAGAAATCAATAAAAATTATATCTTTCGACATTTAATTATCTCTTAGTCCTATTGATGACTTAATTATCAAGTGTAATGTCGGCATAGCTAGATCATTATTAGCGAATATAATTCCAAGTATATATGTGACACTATTTCCTTTATTTTCTATAATTCAACAAAACAAACAATTCTATTTTGACAACAATCAATTCGAATCCATAAAGAAGAATCTCACCCGTCAACTATATATCCTGAAAGAAACTAACAACCATATAGCATTCAACTTGATTCACAAAGCATGTAATCACATTAACACATACGAGATAGTGACCAATGTCTTTCGACATGAAACCTACTGAATCGACGCTTAGGTTTCCACGCCTATTATTTTGAAATGGTGCTCGAGTAAATTAGTGTTTCCATCGGTTCGCCTATTTTCGTCATCGCAACATGTATGTGATCACTGTTGATTATTTACCTCGAGATAAATTTGTAATAATCAACGTGCTTTGTTGATGTAGAGTACGGTATTTTGACTGTCTCTACACGTTCCATGAGAGAAGAGATTATCAGACGAGGACGTCAAGACAACGGATGCATGTTGATAAATTACTAGAGAGTTTAAATCAGGAATCGTAGTTATGAACTTCGAGGTTTAAAACAAAGAAATGTTTTGAAAAGTTTATAGAAATGAGGATTCTATAAAGTGTATTAGATTCACTGAAAGAATCCTTTCAGCTACTGGTAAACAGTGTCGAAAGCAAAGAGACTTTGCAAAAGTCTTTATCGAAGCGATCAATCTAGAAAATGATTATCTTATGCTCTCTTTGATAGTATCATATTCATCTGTGTAACGAAAAGCTTGGATTTGTTATTCCTCGAGTATATCCCTAATTGATAAGTAAACTTCATTTCAAAATAGCATTATTAGAAAACTAATCATAAAAACATCTTTTTCAATGTTGTTTATATTTAAAAAAAAAACTTTCGCTCCTTCATTTAGCCTTGCCATCAAAAAGTCACTTTTTATTTCGTCTATACATAATTCATATGGTCAACAAGCTTGATTGAATCATTTTCTTCTAACTAAAAGTTACTATGGAACCAAAACAATAAGTGCAACAACACATCCTCTTTGAATATCACTATCCAATTAGTCGATGACAAAAGTCTTGTCCATCTTGCAATGATTTTTTTATTTTATTTTTGAAGTATAGGATAAGTGTTTGCTTCTTTTTTGAGCAAAGTAAAAATATGTGAATACATCTATTTTTGGATGACCTATTGAGTTAGATGGCTATTATCAAGTGAGTTCGAGTTTATAACTTTTGACCATTCAGAGCGAAGGGTTTCAGCTATGCTCCATTAGTAGTCAATACCTAGAATACTAAGCACGAAATTTCCAATTGTAATTCATTCTTTAGAAATCCGGCTATTCGAAAGTTCAGTGTCATTTCATATAGTCCATCTCATCTCTGAATAAGTCATCCATAAATGGATGCATTTACATATTTTTACTTTGTTCACAGAAACAGCAAAAACTTATAAAATTGTTGACTAAATGAAACAATGAAAAATTTAGAACTTAGCTTATTACTCGACTAGTTATAACTTCCAAACTGATGTAGCACATTGTACATGTTTAGACTTTGTCAAAAGACAACATAATCGGAATGGATGACACTCCGAGTGCACATTTATGGAGAAGATTAGTTATAATAGATCTACTATCAATAGACAGTTTGATAACAAGACAAAATAGATATCTCTCAGTGATAATGACTTTCGACTATTTGAAAAAGAATTTTTCTCATGAGCCTATCTTGTCTTTGATAGAAGAGGAGAATAAACTTGAATAATCAAAACAGAATCAAATGCCTTACTTTCATTTTACTTTCACGAACATTTTTCATTCATTTCTAAAGTATTTTAAATCTTCGTATAAAGTAATAATATAGATAGATCTTATCGAAAATTCATCTGAACAGACGAAAATAATGTTTGATAATGCAAAACAAAAAGTGAGTAGAGTCTTTAAACTAGATAATACTAGTTCTTGTAGAACACGATGAGACCGATTGAGTTGTATTAAAAAAGCATCATAGTAAATAATAAAATAAATTTTAGAAGATTTATTTCATAGTGAAAAAAAATAAGTTTGGTTTCTAAAATGTTTGATATATTCATTAAGTGATATTTTTTGTTATGCACTAGAAATACGAAGAATATGGCACAAATATGCATAATTTGAATAACGATATGAATATCATCTTTAGATTTTAATAATTATTCTTGTGATATGAATAAATTTGGGAATGGCAAAACTTTATCGATAATAAAATGAATATTTCTTGTATCTGTATCATTTCATATTTCACAAATCTATCACTTTCGTGTCATGCACATGAAAAGAAAACATTCAAAGAATTTATGAAGTGAACATAACACCGATATTCGTTTCTGGAACGATGTCGGATTAGAAAAGAATCAACTAGTTTAAACCTGAGTTCTGTCCAACTTTCATATGAGAAAAGAGTTGTTGATTTGTTTTTCATCTGGTTGATTCACTTAAAAGATAGATCTTTAGTTGAAACTAATCTGTAAACTTATTTGATACAAAATATGAAAGTATTAATAAATCAATCAATGTCTATACATAATTGTGATCTAGATAATTAGTTTCTTATTCGCAGATATAAAATTATAGGTTCTTACTCTTATGATTTTTATTATGAAGTATAAAAAGTTTTTCAATTGTTTTCTTTGAATGATTTTATTATTTTCGTTTCTCGAAAGAAACAAGAATGAACACAGCTTGATGACACTAGTGTTGAGTCTATCCGTGACATAGATCTGTGTGCACTTAGATTATCTTGGTCATGTACGGAAAATCCACTCGAAAGAGTCTGTCTTTTTTTAGCCAACACTGACTTTCAAACAGAAGAGAACAAATGTCCCACTATGATTTTAGCCTAAAAACCCGTCAAGCATTGACTAAATTTTCTGAAATTCAAACGTTTATATAGAGTTCGTCTTAACACATTTCATATATCTTTCTTCAACAAGAAAGAAGAAATTTCGCAATCAAAATACCTTTGCATCAATACAAAAAAATAATTGTGTCTCCAAAAAAAAGCAAAAAAAGTTATCAACTTCTGTAATATGATATCTCTACTCATATCTATTTAGTTTTTTAAATCTTCTCCTTTTATGTTATTGATCAAACTTTTATTTGAAAAAGTGAGCAGTTCAATTAAGAAATAGTATTATCAAAATGAAATTTTCCAACAATGTTTTTGAATATTCAAATCTAAGATCAATATATAAACTAGCTTGAGCCATTACTAAATTTCTATTAGTATCAAAAAGTATCCAAATTAGAACAATGTATCATATTTATTCTATATAGTGTGTATCTGAACAATTTTTCTATTCCGTTATTTGAATTTGTGTTTTTAACAATGAATTGAATCTTCTAGATAGAATGTTTTTATAACTAGATAAATATATGTAAATTTTTAGATAAAATTTGTTTTTTACATGAGAAGCAAAGTATTACAAGAATATTGCTTTTCTATAATGAATGATGTCATTCTATCTTTACAGTACAATTTCAACTAAAATGTTACTGTCACTACGTACTTTTATTATTTTCTCTGGATAGTTTACTGTTTCCGTATAGACTTTATATCGAATGCATTTAATTTTCGTCTCAACTTATTGTCAAATATTTATCAAATATTTAATGTTTCTGTCTTGTAAATTTTTCTGAGCTTCACCTATCTCAAAAAAATTCAAGAAAAGTATAGATTGAAACAGAGCTGAAAAATTATTCAAAAAAATAACAAATCTATTTCGTGGAACATTCTCTCTCAGTATGGAGTTATATATACCAATGGAAAACATATTCTGCTCATTCTCATTCTACAAATGTACTTGATATTAATTCTAGCACTGAACGCTGCAATCGTTTCCATAAAATTTTTGTTGACGCGTTGCTCAAGCTGTAAAACAAAATATTTAGGATGATTTCAACATAGCTTCTAATTTCTGTCTTTGTATATATGCATCAACATTCATGTTCCCGTCCTTTTTTATATTGTTTTTAACTCAAAATATGTTGCTCTGATAGGTCAATATTGCCATCAACCCGCACATTTTTCTCATCGTAACTTGTATTTGAGTAGACTTGTTTTTTTTTATAATTGTCCCATTTTATTTATAAAATAATATTCATATTGAAATGGAAAAAAATCATATGATTGAATGTCTATGGGCATTCTTTTTTTACAGCCACTTTTTCATCATTTCCTAATTTACGTTTATTATTTTCCGTTAGTTGAATTTCTTTTGGTTTAGGTAAACGTTCATTTGGATATGAAGCAGGTGGATTATTAAAATATTCTATTTGAAGAGTTTCGCTTGCATTTTGTCATCGTTTTGGATCGAGTTATATAATTCTTTCTAATACATCAAGTTCATCTGTTTCAAACACTTGAAATATTTTCAATAATTGCTCAAGATCAGAACCACCGGATAGTAATGATACTCAAAGTAGCAATTCAGCTATAATTAAACCGGCTGCCCATATATCGACACCAGTCCCATATTTTCTTGCAACCAAAAGTAATTCAGGTGATCGATACCATCTTGTAACAACTTCATGTGGCATTACCCTTGAGTTTGCTAAACCAAAATCGGCTATTTTTAAAACACCACGTTTATCCATTAATAACTTGTTTGACTTCAAATCTCGATGAAGTTTCCAATTATTATGCAAATTATTATTATTAATATTTTCAAGATCAGTATTCATAAATTCAAATACTAAACATATTCTTGGACAATTTGAAACATATTCTCCAAATGAATCGAGTAATTCGGTAACATTTGGATGTTTAACTTCTTGAAGAAATTTAATTTCTCTTAAAGCAGTTAAATTAATTCCATCAGAGGCTACTTCTCAACTACAGATTTTAATCTTTTTCAGTGCACCCTCATCATCTGTTTGTGAATCTTGCTTTATATACAATAGCATAGGTTTTTTCATCAACTACTTCAATTACAAAGATCAAATTCTCATAAAAAATCTCATGCTAAAGATTAATGTGTTGGATTCAAAGATTTAAAATTTATGTCTATGCAACTTCTTGGAATAGAAATTGATAAAAAGAAACGAATTTTTTCAATATATATACAGTAAATTTTTCATTAAATCGAGTATTTAGTATATTTTTTATATTACTATTATTATTTTTTCGAAGTTCGATATCTGCAAAAACTGTCAATCAGAGTATGTCTATTACTTTTGTTCATATGACTTATTTCTATCAAATAGTCGAGTAAAACTACAAAAAGCTTCTAAGAGAAATAAAGAAAATAATGAAAATATTCCTGAGTAAGACTAGAATCTTTCAGCTTGAGTGCTATTAACAATGCTATGGTGTGTATAGAAAAAATAACAAAGCGAAGCATTTTATTACGAATATCCGCCAGATAAATAAGGATGTGAATTGTTTTTATGCGGATTCAGAAAAAATCTACATCTTATGAGTATTGACAAGATGAAAATAGAGCGTTTGTACTATATCAACGTAATGCTCTCGTGAAAAATGTTTGAAAAAAAATAGAAAATTTTTATAGATGTACATACCAACCTCTTATGAGTATTTCTCTCTTTCATTTAACTACTAATGTCATTTAAAAAACATATTATTATGTAGTATCAATAACTATGTAGTCATTTACATCCTCGGCTTGATGATGAACTCCGAAACTTTCAATCAAGAAAGTTCTGTTGAGATTTCTAAACTCACATAAACACAAAGAAGTTTAGTATGAATAAAATCTAAAATTTGGGACTTCTATTAAATTCTAATTTTCCTTTTCTGTAAAGATTAAAACCAGACCTCATAGCAATTCAAAATGATGTCTGATCATATTATAAGGCTAAAGCTGTCATATTAACTTAGCCTATCTCGAACCAAGCAGAAGAAGAATTTTTCAAGTGGTTCGTTTAATTCCTGTCATCTGAGATAGAGCTACGATGGTTGACCTCTATGTGAATTAAAATAGCATATTCGTAATTCCCCTGGTCAATTATTTCTCTTTCTTTGAGATTTTCAAAGAATGCCTCTCGTCATAAGCAAAACAAAAAGATTCAAGAAAAATCAACGCATAAAAGAAATAAAAAAGAAATATTCCACATAGGAATCGAACTTATGTCGCGTTATTCACTCACTTAGATATTGTGCTACAAGCTAAATATTCTTCTCTTTTCTCTCTTTCTCGTTAAATACAAATAAAATCACATCAATGTTAAAACCAGTGTCATTCGCTTTATTATTAAAAATTTTTTAATTAATGGATATGTTTCTAACTTTACCGAAAATTAGTAGTTATTGATAATTTTTGTCTCTTCATGTGACAAGCAACAAAAATAATTTATCAGTAAAATATTAAAAACAAACGAAAAAAAAACATTTTTTTAAAAAAGTTTTCTTTTTGTATTGTGATGGTGTGTGAACCACAGAGAA